CATAGAGATGGACGAACACACTGAATCCTGGTCTCAGGCTGCCGAGGCGCATTTCACAAATCCCAACTACCAGTCGAAGAAGATGATATTCCTGCTCTTCATCGATCGTCGGTGCCTTTGCTTTTTCATCCATCTTTTGCGAGTCTGATGGTGGACAGACCGGCTGGTGGAATCGCCTCGAATCAAACGCGCGTTGGAGAACGTGTATAATAGTATTCTTCCCAAGGGCGCGTCTCCCTCTGTCTATCTAAGGTATTGTATCGTCTGCCTCTTCGTTCCAACTAATACCTCATTGTAGTCTGCGAATCAACCCTCGATGTGAACGTCCACCCGACCAAGAAGGAGGTCCACTTTTTGAATGAGGAGAGCATCACAGACCAAATCTTAAATCGACTGCAGCGGGCGTTGGCGGCTCAGAGCCAGTCGAGGGTGTTTGAGTACCAGGTTTGTTGTAACAACATCTTACATTTCGTGGACGTCTACTTATGATTATTAGACGTTGCTCACGGGTGGGATCGCGGACCCGGATGTTTCTTTGTCGAAGAAGCGGAAAGGGAAGGAACCAGCGCGAGATGAAGATGTGGAGGACGATCATAATGACGAGCAGCAGAATCGGCCATCGCGTTTGTCCCCCGCTGATAATTCTTTTCTACTTGCTGAACTGGCCGCTATAGCACCGGAAAAAAACTGCGTCTCAGTACAAAGTCCGGACGTCCCTTCAAGACCGCACACTCGACTCTATGTTTCCCGTCCTCAATCCCACTCAGATACAAAACGGCGAATCCAGCTCGGCGTCATCAACACCTCGACCACCGCGGGAGATAAAAGAGTCCGTTTGTATCTTGAGTTCTGTCAAAACCTTGCGGCAGGCGGTCGCGAAGGGAAAACATAAACGTCAGCCCCCAGTCGTTTTTAGCTCGCTCCCGCAGTGCTACAGAACTCTCCGAGATCCTCGAAAAACACACCTTTGTCGGTATTGTCGATTTACACAAGGGTCTGTCGTTGATGCAGCATGCGACAAAGCTGTACCTCGTTGATCATGGGGCCATCGCGTGAGTGCGGATGTCCCAGCAGTACTTCGTTGACTAACCATGTCTCAGCGAAGAGTTGTTCTATCAATTGGGTCTTCGCCAATTTGGCAACTTCAATCGTCTGAAGCTGCAGCCCCCGCCCCCGCTACGCAAGTTAATGGTGATTGCTGTTGAGTTGGAGGAGACGACAGAGGAGAGCGGCCTGACTAAGCGTGAAATCGTCGAGGTTTGTGATTTGACTGCATCTTGTTTTGCCTTTTTGTGCATCTTGTTTTGCCTTTTTGACTGACTCGACAAGCCAGCGAATTGCCGAGACGCTCATATCGCGTCGGGATATGCTCTCGCAGAGTACTTTTCCTTCCAGATCACGCCGACAGGGAAGATCGAGAGTGTCCTTCTGCTCCTGCGGGAGTCGAATTATGCTCCGAACCTCGATTAGCTACCAGCATTTCTGATGTGTCTGGGTCCGCAGGTGCGTTGTTTTGTGTTTGCTCATGAGAATCGAACTGGGCACAGGTCGACTGGACCTCTGAAAAAGAATGTTTCGAGACGTTCCTCCGCGAGCTGGCATATTTCTACGTTCCGGGGCCGCTTTGTGCGGAGGACCCCGCCGCGGCCACGGAAGAGGATGAGGAGACGCAGGATAAGGCAGAACGCTGGCAGATTCAGCATATTGTGTTCCCTGCGCTGAGACGGTACTTTGTGGCGCCAAAGACGTTGTTGGATGGGGATGTCGTGCGGATTGCGAGTTTGCTGTATTTGTACAAGGTTTTCGAGAGGTGTTGAGGCTTTGAGTCGGATGTATCGTTACTTATGTAGAACCTGAATGAGGGGTTTCAAGTAAAGCTCAAGCGCTCAATATCCATTGGAAAATGAATGAGCTTTATGCTGGAAATCACGATGCGCGTGACTGACGCGTTGGGCTTTACTAGGCGGGAGTCTCCTTCTGTCAGGTTTCTTTTTAGGAGTATAGTCTACTATCATACGAATGGATCCTGCAAAAAGCCGGGGGGCGATAACTCAAAGGGGGCGGCGAGAATGGACATCATCCGGGTCACAGGGTGTTAACCGGGCCACCGGGAAAATTAGTACAGAGAATAAAATAGAAGTGAGGTACAAAGGTTCGTCCCTGCCGCCTGCGGCCACCCTCCAATCATTATATTGTCTGGCTTATTATTGAATCTATACATGTACAGTTTATAGGACATTCTTCCTTTGAGAACTGAACATTCAAGTTTCTGGTTGGAACATAATCTGGTGAGGTCAACTTGACAGTACTTTATAGGCCGACGGGACCCTGGGTGTGTTCGACGTTGAACCTAGGCGCACCAGTCATATTCAGCAAACACATACTCGAAGCGAGTATTTTTAGACATACCGTTCCGGATCGTATTTCTTGTAGGTCGCTTTCAAGAACTCGTACTCGCCGTATGTTTCGAACACTTTCTGGGCAGCATCGGCCTCATTGATGACTGTACGGAAGTATTGGTCATAGTCCAGCGGGAGGGCTAGATGAACTTACAGAGCGGCAGCCCAGGTGAGCGGGGGACCCTAACGTTGTGATCATGAACTCTGTACCATACCGAGAAGGAAAAGGCACACTCACTGCTCCTGCCAGAGATCCATTCCCCGCTGGACAGATGGCGGTATCTCTAACACACCGCGATTAAACTGTTGGCCCAGCAGTATCATGGCAAACGGGGCTTTGTGCGTATCGGAGAGCAAGGCATTCCCACCCTTTGCATGCCCCGCCGCGATCTGGGACGTCTGTATAGGCGTGAACGACAGCTCTGTGAAGTTGAGCACCGCCGAGCCATGGCCAGCGTTCGGGTTCATGAACGTGTGGGTGAAATTCTGGAAGCTCGCGAGGGCGTCGAGGAATAGATCCTCCGAGGGAACGAGCGAGGTACCGCCGAAGTGCTGCACGAATCCGTGTTCGGCGACGTCGAAATCCGGGGGCTCGACGAGCGGGAGAACTTGCGTGTAGGACATGGGCCCGATTTGCGTCGAGAGTGCGCCGGGTATGGCGAGGATGTCTGCGTAGATGGAGGTTGGGAGAGATGGGCCGCGATATAATAGGTATGCGATGCAGGTCGTCTGGGCGGTACCGTTGACGATGCTGGTTGAAATGGTGGTGAAGAGGGCTGCGGGGAGGGTTGAGAAAGGATCGGTTAAAGACGGGAAGGAGACAGACCTGCTTTGGGATCGTTGGCCTCCCGGACGAATTTTGCGGTCGCCTTCATTAGCGCTGGCCCAGCCGAGGCATCATACTAGATCAAGAACGCGTCAATGAACACAGTTTTGAAGGTGCCTGAAACACATACGAAGATAGGGCCTCCAAAGAATGGTGTTTCCTCTGCGGTTCCTACATGGACAGCCCGGACTTCGTATCTTGTGACGATACCGAATCGATTGGCGCCGCCCTTGAGTGCACGGAAGAGGTCAGAGTATTCGTTGGTTGCAGTCGCAGTGACGAGTGTGCCATTCACGAGGACCACGTCGAGCGCTATGAAGTTGTCCGCGGCGAATCCCTGAGAAGGACTGAGGAATGATTCGCCGCCGCCGAGGAGAAGTCCAGCGCCGACGGCCCTGTCGAGGGTGTGAGCGTAGAGGTCAAAGGCAAGCGGAATCCCCACCCAACGCGACCTGAACATAATTACTGAGATTATTCCTGGATGCTTCGAGGGGAATACACGCACTTCCGACGGGAGCAACTCCATAGGGCGCCAGCTGTGCAGTCACATTTCCCCACCGTATACCCGGCTCAAGAGTAATCGAGTGCTTGGCGGCATCATACGAGGCGTCGTGCATGTGGGAGAAGAGGATGAGCACCCCGTCGTCAACGCTGAAAAATCGGTCCGTCCGAGTCAATGCTGGCATTTTCAGCGAAAGAGGTTCGCAAACGCACGTATTCCACCCCTTCATGGCGCTATGCCCACCCGCCTGGACAGCATACCGTGCCTTCGCGCGATAAATCTCCCGCATGGCCGTCTGGACATGAGATGCCTCGCGTGGGAACACGATGCACGTGGGATGGAAGAGGTTGTTCTGCTCGTCCCACGCGCCATGGATCGCGGACTGGTACTCTGCGCCAGAGGACTTGACGATGTGAAACCCGAGATGAGAGGTAATATGCGCGCAAGCTCGGCGTGCTGGAGTCTTTCTGTGCGGGCCCGGGATTGCGGCGAAGAATTGGAGTGCGGAAAGGAGGAAGGAAAAGGATAGGAACGCCATGCCTGCGTTAATGCCCGGGGATGAAGGATTTGGGCTTTTAAAGACTTCAAACGCGTTCGCCGTTCGGGGCCGAAGGCTGGACTGGATCAGCGCTCAAGCAGGCGCTCAAGTTGCGCGCTAATAACTTGAATGCCCAACCCCGGCCGAGTTCAAGGTTGAATTTAGTTCGGGCATTCATCCATTCTCCAGGGCGCGGGAAGGCGTAATATCGGGACGCCGCTAGCTCGTCGATGCAAAAAATATAAGGCCGGAATGTGGTTTCGGGATGCAAATTTGTACGATTGAACATAAGCATCGCGTCCGTCGGTTCCAGGTAATTGAGGTGTTGAAGACTCAAATGAGGACAGAGAACCTTCGTACGGGCGAGGATATTGCGGACGCTGTCCTCACCGGCGGTCTAAACTCGGCGCCCACCATTTGTGTTACCTCCGGAAGTCAACACTGCTGCGGCGGGTTCCATGAGAATAACGAGACGATTCTTGTTTCTTTATCATACAAATGTCCGCCGGCGACGGAACTACGGACCTAGGTGCTGGTATGCACGGCGCCCGGGCGGGCCGGCGCCGGCGTTTGGTTGCAGCCATGGAGAAACGGGGCAAATCCTCTGCCGACGCGCAAGTATGCCTGAAATGGGGCGCTTAGAAGGGCACAAGATCGTGCAGTGGCCGCGGCTAGGAGAAAGAAAAGGGCGAACGCAAAGGCGAAGGGGGTGGCAGAGAGCAGAAAAAAAGACATTTCCCCGACGGGGAATCGAACCCCGCGCTCGAGCGATGCAAAGCTTTGGAAATTTTGCATGAGAAGCTCATATGTTACCGATACACCATCGAGGAGACATTTACTCAAGGATGCCGGTCCCCAGGGGAGCGATAATACGCCAAGGTAAAGCATCCACGAAGTGTTACCGTCACGCCATGTCTTCCATCGGACCCGTCATCCCAGCGCACCTCCTCAACGATGGACCCCAGCTGCCCGTCGAAGAAGTCGACGACGACGATGACGACGATGACTATGGACCAGCGCTGCCACCCGACATGCTCGCTGGGCCGTCGAAGCCACCGCCAGCGCAGGTGAAAGGACCGAGTATGCCAACGCGCCCAACGCACCAAGACGACTCGGACGACGACATCGGGCCTCAGCCGCTGCGGAGTGGAGCTGTGCGTGAAGAACGGGATGCAGTAGCCGAGTTCATGGCCAAGGAGGAGAGACGGAGGAAGCAGGTCGAGGTGCGTCCCTTTCTCCACACTGGTACTTGTGACTCACCCTTTTCACGCATGCAGGAAGCAGCCCAGCCCAAAGCCGCGAAACGCGACGAATGGATGCTCGTCCCACCCACCTCCACCGGTCTGCTCGGCACCCTTGACCCCGCAAAGCTCAGCAAAGGCCGACAGTTCTCCCGGGGGACCGTCGTCGAGCGGAACGAAGGCGCCAGCACCCTCTGGACAGAGACACCCGCCGAACGACAGCAACGGCTCGCAGACGAGGTTGCCGGGAAGAAACGCCGTCTCACCAATGCGCCAACCCAGCCAGAAGATCTCGAAACACGCAAACGTGCTCGTGTGGACGAGGAGCTGCGGGAGAGCGTCGCGGAGCACACCAGACGCACCCGCGGCGCTGCGTTGGTCGATATGCACACCGCTGCTGGCAAGGGCGAGGACAAAGACGGCGAACCAAAGGCTATATGGGACCGCGATCGGGATATGGGGCTTGGAGGAAGGCTTATGGATGGTGAGAAGAGGAATAAGATGATCAAGGAGGCCAAGGGGCTCGGGGATCGGTTTTCGAGGGGCAAGACGGGCGGGTTTTATTGAGGTGCGTCGTCCACCAGCACCCTCTCTCGTTTGGATGGTGGCTGACTCGGGATTAGTTTCCCTCTGTATCTGCTGTATAGGCTTATCCATCCTGTCTTGCTCTTGCTCTTGTTCCCCAGGAATCCCTACCATTCAGCCATTGGACCCCCACCGCCCTCCCCCCGGCCAGCGTCACGGAATTTGAGCCTCCCATGCTCGAGAGTGGTTCACCGGGTATCTTTGACGAGCCGGAACAAATCCACGCCTCGTCGTCTGCATCGACATCCTCGTCTCTGCTCGCTTATGCGCTCTGTAACGGAATGCAAAGCTACCTTTCCGGACCCCAGAACCCGACACAAACACCAAAAACAACCTCCTGCCGCCTGACGCATACCTTCAGCCTCCCTCAAGTCCTGTCAGAACTCATGCTTCACCACTCGTTGTCCTTCATCCAGCGCTCGAGGCTGTATCGCCAGCATCATGTTGCCACCTTCTGGCTGACACAAGGACTGCCAGAAACTCCCTGCTATCTCCTCGATGGTGTATCGGTAACATATGAGCTTCTCATTTGAGAAATCTAACTTATCTGAATCGCTCGAGCGCGGGGTTCGATTCCCCGTCGGGGAATAATTTTATGCTCCGTGCATGTTTTCGCATTCTCCACCTCCAGCGCCAGGTTTCTCACTAACCTGTCCATCTCCTAGTGCGCTCATTGACAGTCACACCCGACTCCCCCTCACGGTTAGAATGGTCCCTTCTATAGAATCTCGACTACTCTGCGCGTACGTCCGTGCGATGTGCGATGTGTATGCATTTCTCACCTGCTGTACCGGCGTTAATTTTCCGGGCACGGCACCAACTAGAGACTCGGACGTTACACTGGCACGCGCCACAAGTGCTCAAAATCCGAGGTATAGTGCACTCTAGTACTCGGCCGATACTTACTTCATACACTCCACGCGGCCCACGCCGACTGAGACGGCTCCAGACAGCCCGGCCGATCTTACGCTCTTCAGGGCTGTACCAATGCCTCACGACGCGTAGTCAACTTGCTGGTGCATTCGAGATTCGAGAAGCCAGAATCTGTCGGTAGTTACTTTCGTCGTTTTGAATGCAAGCGTATGGCTACCCAGAGTGAATCTAGCATATCCATCCTTCAGCGCGACGATCTGGCATTAAATCATACAAGGGGCGCCGGGGCTACGCCCCCGGCGGTATAACGATAACAGCAGTGTCACAATGTTCGCCACAACTGTCCTCCTTCAACTGGCTAAGGCCCAATAATTCTCAGCCTAGTCTCGAGTTCACTCCAGATTTTTTCAAGTTTTCTTATCACGTCGTTTTCATTCAAAATGCAATCCCACTATCAACTGCGCCATTGCGATCTACTCTGAGTGTTGGTGGTGTCCCGGGCTAGCGGTGTACGCGGTTGGGCGACGTGGTTGAGCGAGTGGGCATCCTGCGGATGAGTGAACACGCTACGCTTGGCAAGTTGGGACGGCGTCATGATTACTCACCAATTGCTAGATGCCCGTCAGGCACGACCGCGGGCGCACAGAGAGGGCTGACACGCATCAAGGACGCTGCTGGCAAGTTGCAAGCGTTTCCACCGCCAGCCTCAGCCCCCGGTAATGGCGTCAGCCCAGCTTGAAGAATGACCCCGCACCTCAGAATCTGAGTCGTAAAACATCAGCCACCGCGGTGATTCTCGACGTCGAGTGCGGCACAAACTGCCGTTGACATATTGTACACATGAAAAAGATACACTGCTCGAGGTCAGCGATGACAGATGGTAAAGCAGCAAGATTCATGTCAGCACTGCAACTGATTGTGTCCGTTTATCGCGAATACTTGCGCTGCTGTGAAAATGATTTGAGTTAGAAAGAGGGACAACGAAAACGAACCGGGATCGGAGACGTGGTTGCCCGGGACGGTGTCGAGCGAGGTTCCAGCAGGGCAAGGAAGCACCCAAGCTACGACAACATGTCCTAATCACCACCGAGTGCAATCAATCCTCTGCCAAAATCAGCAGGCTCTTGAGTTTTTCCGAGACACGCTCACCTCAATGACGGATCATGGCACGTCGCAACCTTTGTTGTTGCCATGTGTGGGTGAGCGTAAGGTGGGAGCGTAAGGTGGCAGAGCGCAGGAGGTGGCTCGCAAGCGCTTTGCGAGATTTGATTCGACGGAAAAGCTGAAGGTAATATCTGGTCAGTGACGGCGAACAGAATAGCAGCGAGGCAACACAATGAGTACATACCAACTGGAAGGACAGTGTGGCCCAAACACGGCTGTCAAAGGTGGATTGTGCGCTGTGCATATTCTGCGTGAGCTTCGGCCGCGCTACGCACCTCGCTTGACGGGCAGTTCATCGACGGACAGTCTTGGACGAACAGGCATCGACCGGCTTGGCGTCGTCCTCGTCATCGATGTGCATTCGAGCCGTGGGATGTGTCTCTGCCTCATTCGGGAGCGGAGCCTTCTGCAAAGTTTGGAGCGTGATTGGAAAGGGCAAGGATTCGGATCGCACTACGCACCTCAACCACAGACTCGTGTGCGGATGTCCGAGTCATTTCGCTCGAATCCTCTCCCTCAATCGGCTCAATCGTCGTCCTCCCGCTCCGTTGGGAGCCCAAACAGTCCGCGAGACGTCGATACGAATGGTATGGCGAAGGAATCGAAAGCGAGGCACGGGAAGGTCGATAGAACGAACACATGATATTACATTGAAGCCGAGAACGCTGAAAACAGTTCTCATCACTGCGAAATGAGTCGTTGCACCATACGGGAGCAAGAGACGCACCTATGTAGCCCTTCGCGCTATCCGCTCCATCTCAAGTCACATCGCTACCCGCCCGTCCGCCCGTCCGCGCGCACGCTGGTCCACGGCTGTCGGTTGTCGCGCTCTCATACATGGCTGTATGACGTTGGTGACGGATCTTGAAGCTCTTGATGCGTGGCTTGTGGTAGTACTTGCATGAAGTTGCAGCGAGAGGGGCGTTGGGAATGGTGCGGTTGATGAGGACAGAAGGAAAGGAGGGATGCCAGTGAAGGCGAGAAGAAAGAGGACAAAGGTGGAGTGAGGGCGGCGGAGAGCAAGCCTGAACGGATAGATTTGATGTGGTGGGAAGAAGGAAGGACTGAAAAGGATAGATTTGATGTGATCTTTCTATACGGAACGAAAGTCTGATAAGGTGTGATGCGAGAGACGCTATTAAGAGAAGGAGTATATTTATTGCGGAATCGACGGAGCGTTCTTCCGTGGCTCACACTCGTTCGACGTCCAGAGGACTCTGCATTGGCACTGGGTGTCCATTTCTTGTTGTTCGTCTCCCCTGAGCGCAAGGCGGGGTTCGGGCCTTGGTCGCCTCATCAGCTGGCGGACATGTCGGAGTTGTTTCTCGAGGAGGCGAGGAATGTGTGTTGCCAGTGTGGGCTGTGCGTATCTTAATTATGTTGGGTAGAAAGTTGGAATTTGGAAACATGGAATATCGTATCCTGCCGGTGTACTAGTATGAGGTTCAAGGCTCCGATTCTTATGTGAGCTGGTTGTGAAGGATGTGCCAGTGGCATGGATTATGGTGCTACTACTTAAAGAATGGCGGATACGCGTTGGCGGTGGAGGACGTGAAATTGATCCGCATGGGATGTTACGAGACATGCATTACGTCCGCGGTGGACGGCCTACCACAACCGACGGCTACCATATTCGGTGCTGTGGGGTCTAAAAAAAAAAATGATGCCAAGCGCTGCATACCCCCCGATGCGGATCTCCGCTGAATTTCAGTCAGCATGGACTCAAAGTTCTGACAGGCGCTTACCGTGTATCTTTGTGAGGAGCTGCTGGATCCCGTAAATAATCGGCAAAATCATGAAACGTGGTGGACCCACCAGGCGCTCAGCCTCACTCATCTGCGAGGCACTTAGCACAGCGTCATGTCTCTTCTCGTCGGCCGCGATGTGCTCCTCGTGTAAACGACGCATGCTGAATTGGAGGTTCATCTTTTTGATTATTATTTCAGCGCACTTGTAATATTGGCATTGAGAGAGACGTACATCGACCCGCGACATTGCCTCGTCCAGTAATCGGCCATACTCCTCGATTAGGCTCTTGTGGCGATTTTGGTGAGCGAGTCGTTGCCAAAGCTTCTCGTTTTCGAGCTCGTTGAAGAAGTCTTCTATGTTTCGGAACAACCTGGAAGCCGGGGTCAGTATTATCGAACAGGAGAAGTGGACGAAAACGATAACATACGTTTCAACCTCAACAACACTCTCCTCCACCTCTGGCGGGAGATCAACATTGAAATCCTTCGTCTGTCTCCAAATGTCCTCCATGATTTGAGCAGCGCGCTTTGCCAGGTGTTCGCATTCACTCTTATTCGACTTGATCCTCTGAGATTGCAAGTCAGTGAGCAAATTGTCGGAGCCACAGGTCGAAGCCCACCTCGCTCATCTCTATGAGCACGAGTGCCGCGGACACGCCAGATTTGAGAGGCGGAAAGGCGTCTGCGGACGTCCGAATGGCCTTTAGAGTAACTTTCGTTGCGTCGAAGGCATCTGCGGCGATCTGTTTGGAGACGACCTGACGCATTCTAGCGGCCAGAGCGTCTGAGGTGAGCGTGGAGCGAATACAACGAGTAATGGGGGGCATGGGAGGCAGGGAGCAGAGGCCAGGGGTGGGTGACGAAGAGCTGTAGAAAGGCTGTAGCGTTACACGAGGCGAGGCATGGGCGCTTCGCTCTATTTCCTCACATCACTGTTTCCTGTTGATCTTTTGAAAGCTGTTGAGCTTGCAGTGGTTCGAGCGGATGACGCTGAAGAGACGGTTTCTTGCAGGCTCTGTTCTCGGTTAAGTAGAGTGTTCTGTGCCGCTGAGTCGCAGAGAGCTTTCAGCCGGAGTACGGCGCCGATGCCAGTGGGAGAAGCAGAGAGTGCGGATCATAAATCCGAAGCAATGTTTAGCATTGGGTCCCCCGAGCGCGGGGTTCGATTCCGAGTCGGGGAATTTCTTTTATCCTCCGTGCGTGTTTTCGCACTCTTCAGGGTCCAGCGCCGCCTCAATTGCTCACCGAACTGCACATCTCCTAGCGCGCTCACAGTCACACTCGACTCCCCCTCACGGTTTGAATGCCCAGTATAGAATCTCGACTACTCTGCGCGTACGTCCTATGTCGTGCGACGTGCGATGTGTATGCAGTTCTCACCTGCTGTACCGGCGTTAATTTTCCGGGCACGGCACCAAATGGAGAATCGGACGTACACTAGTGCTGGCACGCGCCGCAAGTCCTCAACATCCGAGGTATAATAGTGCACTCTACTCCTCCGATACTTCATACACTCCACGCACGTCCCAGTGCTGACTGAGTCGGCTCCAGACAGCCCGATCTTGCGTTCACTGGCAGGGCTGTACCAATGCCTCACGACGCGTAGTCAACTTGCTGGTGCATTCGAGAAGCCAGAATCTGTCGGTAGTTACTTTCGTCGTTTTCAATGAACGCGTATGGCTCCTCCCAGAGTGAATCTAGCATATCCATCCTTCGCGACGATCTGGTATTGATGCGCCTACCTCGTGTTGACGCGCCATTTTGATGCGCTGCTTACATATAGCCTATCCCACGAGGTCATGA